ACAGTTTTTCTCTCTGACACATGTCCAGCCAGGCTAAACAGGACAAGTGGAGCATGTGCAGGGAAACAATTGGGAATAAAAACAAGTTATTTTCTATAAATATTTTTGAGTCTTAATTTTCTTTTCTGACATAGCCTGGCTACTTCAGTTCTTGTTAAAACACACCAGACGTGCAAATTCTGTGCATTTTGGGCACTTTTGGGGTGAAATCATATTTATTTTGTCCATCAAAAGTATGCTTTCCCTTTGATTGAGCGCGAGCAGAATAGACTCGGATCTGAAACCCGCGCTTCACTGTTGCTCACGCGACGCTCCTGCTTGATGCTCACGCGCTGCTCCGGCTCCCGGTGTGAATGCACTCACTGATTAACATGCATGCCGAAAACAAAACAAAAAAAAACCCTGCTGCTCACGCTTGCGGTGTGAAACGGTTGTAATTCATTCACAAGGTTTCCTACATGTGTGTTCCGTGTGCACGTGTGATGCTGATGTTGCGCGATGTTAATCATGCGGCGCCCGAGTGCATTTGACCGGCATAAAATCGGCATGTCAGACTGACCGGCCGGTCGCCGATCATGGCCGATCACGTGAAAATCGGCCGATTCCGGTCACCAGCCGATCAATCGGTGCATCTCTATAAATGACATGACCAAAATTTACAATATTAATTTGGTGCCCATATAGACAAATTCCTTACATTTATGGTGCTCATTTTAAGCATGAATTACATCATATATACACTTCAGAATCTCGCCGAAAGTAGTAGGTCATCCGGGTACTTGGTCATTTGGACATACTACTTTTGTCACATACTATTTTTTTTGCCAGCTATATAGTAGGGAACTATGTGATTTCAGATGCAGCCAGTCAATTATTTTGTTGCTGAATGAATTTAAGTGAGTCATAGAATCACTGACTAAACAGATTAATTCAAAAACAGTCTTTTCACTGGTCTCTACTAAGGCTGTGTATCACAAACAATGTCACGACACTAAAGCCACGATACGATACGTATCACGATATGGATCAATTTGGAATTTAAATTTCTTTTGAGCAGAGTTTAGTAACAGTAATATCTGTTTATTGAATAACCAGCGTTATAACAGTTGTGATAACTGAAAAACTATTTAGTTTTTGTCATTAAAAAAAACGAGTTAAATTAAATGAAATAAAATTGTCACAAAAAAGCTTAAAAGAGCACAAGAATGGCTCTTCCTTCTGCTCTGCCCCAATAACTGAAATGACAATTAGAGTGTCAATTATAGTTGCTCAATGCTCAATGACTAAACAAAACTTAAAATATTTCATAAAAGCAAAAACTGTTACAACTTAAATTTAACTTAGTTTTTTTCAAACTCTTTTAAACACCTAGTATTAGAACACTCGCATAGGAACTGATGAATGTGGAAATAACACCTAGTGTTGGAATGTGCACCAAACAAAGTAATTTATTCACATTACATTTAAATTATTTTAAACAATTACATCTTCAGATTTGTATGCAGAAACAACATGGACATGCTCAGGGTTAAGAGTGAAACTCTGTGCAGAAGAGAGTGACAGCAGAACTTCTCGCTTAACTTCATCATACAACCGGGGAATTGCCGTTTCTGTTAAAAACTGACGTATTGGGTAGCGGGGCTCACTCTCGTGAAGCAATTGTCTGAAGCCTTCTCGACAACGCTGTATGGCCATAAATCCTGACATATGAAGCGCATTAATGCATTTGTAATCTTTTGAGATTGATTTCAATATTTGAATTAAATTGTAAAAAGTAGTGCGAGTACTGAATAGTTAAAAATCGCTTGAATGTTTAAACTGGTAAGACTTGGTAAATGGAAAACTTTAGTCATGATGCAATGCTGGCCCGATTGTGCAAGTGACGATTCCGTCATGTCCCGTAGTACCACCGCCTCCAGCGCTTGACGTTTGCCTTGTGGTGAGAAAAAATTGCGTCTCGCAGAAAGTTTGAAAATGACTGTGGATTAATTTACTAATACAACCTACATGCTAGGGCTGTTTTCGACTAAGGATTTTCATAGTCGAATCTGATTCGTTAGATTTTGCCGTAGTCGACTGATAGTCGAACCTTTTTTTTTTTCTTTTTTTTTTTTTTTTTTTTTTTGATAGCAGCTAGACGTTTGGTTGAATAACTGTTCGTCTGTTATAGGACAACTCGCTCTACGTTTATTTAAAGGGATAGTTCACCCAAAAATGAAAATTAAGTCATTAATTACTAGGGTTGGGTATCGGTTGGGTTTTATCCGATTCCAGTACCTACTCGGTATTTTTTAAACGGTTCCGGTGCTTAAACGGTTCTTAAATCGGTACTTAAGAAAATGAAACCGCACACACTTTATCAAAAAATAATACCCTTTAATTTACAGGGCCAAACTGGACACAATATTAACTTAAATCTTTAAACAATATAAATACAAGTAACATATGGTAATAATAAAACCAATATAAAATAAAAATTCATATTTACATAATATCAAATGAAACAATATTGTATCAAACAATGTAATAATACTGGAGATTAATAGAGATTACTAGCAGGCAGAGCTGCCAACTCTCACGCATTGACCGTCACGCAAATGACCCTTTTCACACAGAAAAATCGCGGACAAAGAGGACACTGACACCGACAGACAAGACAGAGAAGGTTACTTTTGATATGGAACAAATCCACAGCTGTCAGATTCTGTCAATATTTTTACGAGATTCACACAATAAATAACGTTTTGGCTCTTTGAAATGTGACAGATCGCTGTAGCGCGTCAGTTCAAACGGCACGTGATACAGCAGCCTACAAATCCACTGCTTCTTAGCTACGCAGCGCAGTGAACCTATGAAAGAGAACATCTCTGGTTACTGGTGTAACATATCTCTCAATAGGGAACGGGACGCTGCCAAGCTCCTCGCGCTGCCGACCAGCTTCCTTTTTCGGCAGAGAAATCTGAGGAGCAGGTGAGGCGCGCGCCAACATAATATGACGACGTAAGTGCGTCGATGCGGCGCCCGCGCCATCAGCCAATGGATTGGCTTGATTCTATATGAGATTCAGACTATCGCCAGAACGCCAGAGGGCGTTCTGACACGTAATTTTACACGTGAAATGCAGCCAAACCTTGCGAGAAAGAGCGCGCATGCGAGACAGAAGAAACTGTGCTCCAAACTGTGTAGTACGCACACGCACGGCGGAGAGGGAGAGAGCGAGAGACCTTGTGTGTGCGTGTGTGCCTAATGAAGTTAGGCACCGAAATTTTCGTTCTTATTCGGTCTGGTTACTACCGTTTACGTCGGAACCGGTTCCCTATTGGCACAGAGTTTCGGTACCCAACCCTACTCACCCTCATGTTGTTCCAACCCCGAAAGACCTTCGTTCATCTTCTGAACACAAATGAAGATATTTTTGATTACATTTGAGAGCTGGATCACTCCTCCATAGGCTTCTTAAGGGAGTGAAACTTGACATTTGAAGAAAATGTTTAAATAGTCCAAGTGACTACAGTGGCTCAACAATAAGTTTATCAAGCGACGAGAATACTTTTTGTGCGGAAAAACAAACAAAAATAACGACTTTATTCGACTATTCCTTTTCTTCCTTGTGGGCCTGAGACGAGAGTTCAAGAGATTTCCAGGACGCATGCGCGAGAACTGGGAAGAGGACATTCTTCTTCTACTACTTGTTCAGTTCTCGCGCATGCGTCGTGTAAATCTCTTGAACTCTCATCTCAGCAAGACAACTAGAAGTGAATGTGCTTTCCATTAAAGGAATCCTTAACAAAAAAAAAAACGTTGCAATGAACGTGCTTTGTTTTAAATAAATCACACACAGTAAACAAAACCTTAACAAAAAAACTTTGCAATGAACTTTGCAATTTAGACGGGCAAACTGCGTGCCGGTGCGGTGAGACGTAGCCTACATGCTCGGGCAGATTCGGCTTGAAGTCGTTCATCCTCAGATGCGGCGCTGCGTGCGCTGTTACAAAAACAGCCGTGCACAAAGCCAAGCGATATGGGGTCTTGCGCACCCAGCATTTTTTGCCGTGCGGACGCGTCGAGTATAAACAAGGCTTTACTCCATGTCAGCGCGCGCTCTGATTGGTAAAGGGGCACAGACCTCTCCCGAATCATCTCCAGCAGTAGCAGCCTCAGAACCACCACTAACTCCGCCTCCGTTTCCCTCGTAAGCTGATGTTAGTATTTAAACATTCTCTATGATAAACAATGTTTGTAAAAAATATTTTAATAGCACGGTTTTGGCGGTTCTAGAGTTCTAATGACGGTGTTCAACTATAACCGTCGGTCTCACGGTTATATAATAACCGTCACACCCCTATTGGTTACATAACACTTCCCTACTATTCGACTATGAGGTTCATAGTCGAATCAGACCTCTCCGAATCGAATCTTCAAATCCTCGACAATTAGAAGTCAGCCCTACTACATGCTAAAGTGAATCAATGTTTGCAGGAATTTCCCGCATTATAAGTGGGAGACCTGCGGGAATGATTAAAATTATGCGCAATACCCGCGCCAAAATTTGAGCCCTGAACTGGCTACTCAAAAGCACGACAGTATCGATACGCGCATCGCCAGGTGCTCATGACGATGTATCGTTGTATCGATATTCTGAGCACAGCCCTACCACCTACTGGCTTAACCATGTAACCTGCTGAAAGAATCACCCACCACTAAAACACAGGCCAACAGTCTCAGAAAGTAAATAAACAATTACACTCTTTAGCTTTGAAATTTAACCTGTTGAAGCTTTAACTTTAAGCTGATATTTTGCATGTTTGCTTTTTTTTTTTTAAGTGTAGCATGCCACAACGATTAGGAGATTAAGCAAGTTCTTAATAGTGATGCCCTTTCCCCTTTTACTTTCAAGTAATCGTGTCTCACTCTGTGTTTTCTGTTGTGATTTATTTGTGTACAGTCATCAAATAATGAAATAAATGCAAGTGTTTAATTTCCTCTCTCTTCGTTGGCAGGCTGATCTACTACTTGGACCCCTCTGTGCTTACTGGTCTGTCCTGCAGTGTCATGATCCTGTGCCTGGCTGATTACCTGGTGCCCACTCTTGCGCCCCGTGTCTTTGGTTCTAACAAATGGTGAGTGAATAGACAACAAGCCCCGCTCTTGACCACAGGCTCTCATCCCAATCTCTTCATCTACCGTAATAGCAAGGTTAATATCAAATAACATGTTTCTCTTTAGAACTCAAGTGTTTATTTCTCCATGTTATAAACGGCAAAAACTTCAGATCCCCTGAGAACACATGCAGGTATTTGCACAGCATGTATGTTCTTGCCTCTTCTGATTCCATTTTAGTCTGTCACCCCTGGCAACTTCCCTTGCTCTAGTTTAGGACCCTGGGTCTCTGGTGTCTTTGATTGACAAGTTGCAGTTGCTGCCGAGTATCCAGTGTCAGGCAGTGTTGGTTTGACTCAGCAGATCTTCACTGTGCTGATCCCGCCTTTTCTCTCTGCAGTGAGAGGTCTTGCAATGCGAGATCAGAGCCCTGGTGTTTATTTTAGTGTCTGGCAGCTTCCTGTGTCTCTAAGCTTTAAGCCTTCAATATGGTCATGTTTATGCCCAGAAATAAAATGCATTGGCCAAGCAGAAATAGAAGCAGATTTCCTCATCATTGGATGCGTGTATTACCCATAAAGAGGCGTTCTTTGAAGAATGTTTATGCCCAGAAATAAAATGCATTGGCCAAGCAGAAATAGAAGCAGATTTCCTCATCATTGGATGCGTGTATTACCCATAAAGAGGCGTTCTTTGAAGAATTAAGATATTGTTTATCATGTATGCTTTTTGAGGAGTGTTGTTTTTTTCCTGGACAGGACCACAGAACAGCAGCAGCGTTTCCATGAGATCTGTGGGAACCTTGTGAAAACTCAGCGCCGTGTGCTTGGCTGGTGGAAACGTCTGTTTGCCCTGAAGGAAGAAAAGCCAAAAATGGTACGCTCCTTTGACTTGTTGAACAACATCTTCCTTGTTTCATGTCTAAGAACTCACTAGTGACTCATAAGCATTTCACACTGTAAACTGCCATTTCACACCACTAATTTGGCTTTCACCCTGTTACCCAGCAGTGAGAACAAACAAACATGAGCCTGAGTGCATGGCTCTACCCATACATAATTAAAGAGCACTCAGTGCCGTTAGGAGAACATATTTAAGGGCACAGTCGATATTCAGTATTATTGTGTTGTGCAAATACAACAGACATTTGCACAAGCATGCATTAATAATGATTATGGAAGTCAGAAACATAAATACAAACAGAATATAATTCTTAACAAATTAACAGTTCTTGAGCATTCAAATATGTATATTTGGGGTCAGTAAGAGTTTTTCTGGGGGAAGGGATTAATACATTTTTACTTTGCTGTTTTTACTCTATATTTGTGCAAATAAGTGCGGCATTGGTGACCATAAAATATTTCTCTCAGAAACCTTAACTAAAGCTTACATTTAATATTATACAAATTTATTGATTGGATGTCAGATGTTGCTCACACAAGTTGTTTGTGCAAGTGAAAACTTTGTTGCATTTCTGTAATATTGTTTTAACTTCTTCAGAAAATAGGCTCCTTCTCAGTGTACTCCATGTAACACATTTGTTCTACTTCTCTATAGTATTTCCTCTCTGTGATCAGCAGTCTTGTGGCTGTGGCTTGGATCGGACAACAAGTGCATAACCTCTTCCTTACTTACCTGATCGGTACGTATTCTCTTTATCTGGGCTAAAAATTAAGCAAACTGCACAGATGAAATCCCGTGTTGAAAGGCTGTTGTATTACATTAGAGCAATGCTCTGTGAAACATCAGCCTGCAAACTGTAGAGAAGTCACGGCCCTTTATCAAAGCCTAGCTCATGCAAATGGTGACTAGGCTGTGCAACAAAGAGGCCATTGTATTTAGGTCATGGAAAGCCAAAGTTCCAATCCAAAAATATGCTGCCTCTTACCCTCCCTGCACACAAGATTTGTATCTATTTGTACCAATTAGGTGAAATGTTCTTGTGCACTCGCTCTTTTTTCATTTTGTTATAAAAGTGTTCCTCTTTATGAAATAAATAGTACCGTATTTTCCGCACTATAAGGCGCACTTAAAAGCCTTTAATTTTCTCAAAAAACGACAGTGCGCCTTATAATGCGGAGCGCCTTATATATGGATGGTGAACACACGTTGACCAAGACGGGGAGACAGTGCCGGGCGACTTACGCCACTATCTGCCAATGGATCGTGGATGCCTGGGCTGATATATCAGTCTCAACTGTGATCCGAGCTTTCACGAAGGCAGGAATAATCTCTTTATTCAGCCAGCTCACAATCCCGTATTTACTTTCTGTTTTCGGCCAAAGTCCACAGTAGTTGATTGTCGAGTTCGCGCGCACGCGATCAAACCTCCTCGGTGTGTTCAACATCTGATCCGGATGAACTATCCGAACTATCCATTTGAGCTGATATTCTCAGAAAACCACACAGCACCGTCATCGGCTCACAGCTGACAGTGAGTCTCCACTGTTGCTTAGTTACCAATGATCGCGCGCGCGCACTCGACAATCGCCTACTGTGGACTTCGACCGAAAACAGGAAGAAAATACGGGTATGTGAGCTGCCTGAATATACATCATTTTTATTCATATCTTTCACATTTACTGGAGTCAGATTCACCGTGTTCACTCACATGGCTGTGCACTTGTAATGACACATTAAGGTTGTTAAGAGGCTAAAAGCAGGTTTAAAACTTTTCCCGTTTAAGTCAACAGGGTGCAAACTTTAAAAAGAGGATAACACGGTGTAGGCAACACCGGTTTTTGTCGTTGTTATCTGTACTGACAGCACTCCAAATTTACAAAAAATGAGCTCAATGTTCAAATTGACCGGAGTTTTCCTTTAACGTTTGAACAACGTTACCATGGGAGTGAACGGAGTTGTCAGAAAGCTTAATAAAGTTTGATCTGACTGTTTTGTTGACATTTGTTGACATCTAGTGGATGCATAACGCAAACCCAGTCAAACGTTTGACTGCAGTATCTTATGCGCCTTATAATCCGGTGCGCCCTATATATGAAAAATGTTCTAAAATAGGTCATTCATTGAAGGTGCGCCTTATAATCCGGTGCGCCGTATAGTGCGGAAAATACGGTACTATATACAGGGGTGCACATAACTTTTTTTTTTTTTTTTTTTTTTTTCTCTTTTCTCTCAAGGGAACACCGTGAGATGCTGCTTGGTGCTCACACTTTACGCGACACACTTATCCTACAAGCTGCCTAAATGTAAACAGGCATGAAAACTCCTTACCTTTCGGCGAAATTCGCCGGTTTAAAACCAAAATGGGTCACCTACGTGATTTGTGCAGATCCAATGAGAAAAATGTTTTGTTTTTTGGGGGGGGGGATCGTGGCCGTGGCCAGGGCCAGCATTTACCCGCTATATCTCTAAACTTCGCAGCTTTAAAAAAAACAATCATCATTCCTAATGCCGATAGGTTACCTGACAGCCAATCCGAGTCAGAGTAGGGCAGAATTGTAAGCAAGCCTGAGGTAAGTTAGCTTACAATGTTAACTGTCCTGTCAGATACAGACAGTGATTTTGATGAATTTTAGATCAAAAGTGATGGTTACAATTTTGCTGGGGTATTTTCTATATGTAGCTGCTGTTGTGTTTCTAAATCATTTCTGTATTTCCTCAATGTTATAAAACGAGCGGTAATATTGCGAGCGGGCACCGTTAGCGCAGAGCGAGCAGGAACGAGTAACGTTAGTGAGTTGTCGTCGAAAAAGATGGATGAAGCAAAAAAGCTGTCGGGGACTAAAAATAGAAAAAAGATAGAGGAAATGAGATGGCATGTCAATTGATGCGAGAGCAGCTAAATGAGTGCATGGTGAAAGCCAAGGCAACAGGTTTAAAGTGTGACGTCCAGGCATGCTAATGCCATCGGGACTACCGGGAGATTCCCAGTGGGCCGACGTGCTTTTTGGGCCGATACATCTCATACTTTTTTTGTTTTGTTTTTTGTCTTAACGGCCCATAGAACTCGTACATCGATGGCCCGCCGTTTTTCCTTAAAAAAGTTCCTTTTTTACCCCTGAGCCGTTTTCATGTCTGGTAAAATAACACTATTTGTTCACTGTAGAAATTAAATAGAGGGTCATCTTTGTTAAAGTTGTATTTTTTTTTATTGTATTACCATTAATGACACAAAGTGACAGCAGCCTAATATTCCTGCTATTGTCTAACACCGAATGCATGGGCGGACCGAATTTACTGACACGCATCCGGTTTCTTCCTCAACTGTTCACTTATGACAAAACCGAGAGAATACTTGAGGAGATGGGTATTTTGACATAATTTTGTGTGTCGTTCAAGCGCAAGTAAACGAGAAAGAGAAATCAATTCGGCGTTTCAGCGCTGTCTGAAACCTCCCTTTCTCTCTCTCTCTCTCGCTCTCTCTCTCTCTCTCTCTCTCTCTCTTAATAAAAAAAAAAAGTTCACTCTTTTGGTTAAACTTAGCAGTTAATCCGCGAATCACATGCATGCCGAATCATGGGGCCTGATCCGTATGGATCAACTGCGATCCGTTGCACCCCTAATAATTAATGAACACGCTTATCATCATGATTGCTATCTTACCAGAGATGGATAAAAATCGTACTCCAGTAAGAAAACGTGTCCCTATCCCCAAAAATGCCAGAAATGTGAGTACTCAAAAGCGTTGCCTCCACGTTTTCTGCTGCACATCGTTTATTTTTACTGCACCTGTTATGTGCACCCCTGACCAGATGGGATATACAGTTCTAGTGTTGTCACGGTACCAAATTTCAGTATTCGGTACCAATACCAGTGAAAATCCACGGTTCTCGGTACCAATTTCGGTACCAAAGCTTAATTTAGATAAAATTTACATATATTAAAGTGTATATCACAGTTACAAAGATGGAAACTGTAGTATTAAAAACACTTTACAATAAGATTCTATTTGTTAGATAACATTAGGTAAAATGACCTAACAATAAACCATAGTTATATACTGTAGCAATTATTCTCCTTGGGGTTCATTTAAAAATATACTAATACATTTTTTAAATCAAAAGTTTTATCTGTTAACATTATTTAATGCACAATGAATGAAGTGAACAAACATGAACAATCAAGTGTTTGTATTAAATAACTTTCACAAACATTAATTAATGTTGTAAAAATATATTGTTCACTCAATGTGTTGATGTTAACACATTAAGTAATGTTAATGAATGGTATTTTATTGTAGTGTTACCAAACTATACAGGAGATAAAACATGTTTTATTTGACTTAACTGTAGCCTACTTTTATTTAATCCAAAACTGCCAAAAATGTCACTCTTGCCTGTCTTCAAAACTTGAGAACCCTGTAGCTGATTTCTAATGCAAGGGCTAGAAATCAATTAATTCTTTGCTGATACTTCCTCGTCATCACGGAGAGCGCAGTTAGCACCGCTTTCTCCTTCTCTCCTCAAGCGCTCGCTCTCGCGTGTCTCCGCTATGCAACCATAAACAGTGACGCGCCTGGAAAAACAAGCTCGCACGTCACTTCTAATATGAGCGCGCTTCCCGCGCGCCTACATTTGAAATTTGCACGCGCAAAAAACGTGCTATGTGAACGTGTGAACGGCCCTTTATGGCAACGTGACATTAGCCTAATTCAACATATTTCCATATGTGGCTCTTTCCTCCTTTCTTGTCAACAAGTGGATTCAGAGCCAGCGCATTAGCAGCGCCGCCGGTCGCCATGTCTCAGTGTTTTTATGAAGAGGACGCAACTCTGCACCTTTCAGACAGCGCGCATCAAGAACCGGATTAACCCGGTACTCGGTACCTAGAAAAGCTGGTACCGTAACCGTTCATTTTTTTTAGTACCGACTTGGTACCGAAGTACCGAGTTTTTTGACAACACTATACAGTTCTATACAAAACTGTATATATGTAGTATATCATATACTATTTATTAATAGTATATGAAATACTACACCGAATTCCATAATCCAGAAGATTACTTTTTCATTTTGAAATGTCTGTGGCACAGATGAGTTGTGTAGACCGCTTTAGTCCTTCACAGGGCCATCCTATAAGTGATTGTACACTCATTTTCTGTTTTGTATCAACAGTGAGTTTCCTTCTGCTTTTGCCTGGCCTCAACCAGCATGGCATCATCACCAAGTATGCTGGCATGGTGAAGAGAGAGATCAACAAACTTCTCAAGCAGAAAGAGAAGAAGAATGAGTAAAAGAAAAGGCTCAAGTAAAAAGTTAAATTCGGACAAATTTAAGAGTTTAACATGGTCCTCTCCCCCATGCTTACAGTCAAATCTCTGAAGACCAATGTGAAGCTTTTGCAGATACTGAGCTGATAGTGAAAAGTAACATCTAGTAAACAGCTTAAATTTATGCTGAAATCTCTTGAGGTTCATGTGTAATTCTTTCCGGGTTTTAGGTCTCATTTCAAATTATACGTTTGTTTGCCATCAGAAGTATTTTTTTTCCAACACTGAAATGTTCATTGTCTCGCATCTATGATTATTTGCATGTCATAGTAAATGTTAAGTCTGTGCAAAATATAAAGATCGCTTAATTTCTTCCAATCAGTGAAGCAACCACCGAACATTTACTTTAACCAATTAGATGCACAGAACGCATCATCAGAAGTCTTGAAATGTAGCCTTTTCTTCTTTGGATTGGCTTGGAAACATGCATTTCTGCACTGTTCTGAAACTTGCACTGGAAAACAGAACTGGAGTATTCGTGTAGGGGATTTTAGACCCTTACTGCTGTACTAGTGCTGTGTGGACCTCATTACTGTCCTCTAGCACTAGCCACTTCCTAATCCAACACCTGTTTCTGGGCTGTGTGTGTGTGTATATATATATATATATATGTTCATTTTTTTTCTTTGTATTTCTTTGGCTTGTTTTAAGTTTGTCTTCTCTACTTGTTCTTTTAATTGTCATTTTGTGTTTGAGTGTGTTCATCACAACAATAAACTTATTCAAAACTCATTTTGTTTCCCAGATCAGTCTTTTTGTAAACTAAAACTATTAAAATAATTTTTAGTAATTGAAGAAAAAGCTGAAGTAAAATATTAAAATTTGATGAAAAATAAACTAAAATAAGTTATTAGTTAGTACTGAAATTATAAAACTACATAAAGCTAACATAAAGGGAGAAACAAAAGTGGCAAAAGCACATACCAATTACTAAAACTTAAACCACAATGAAAATAAAAGCTAATTCAAAATCTTAATATATTCTATTGTACATAAATAAGCCCAAATATGATATAATATAAAATATAGCATTAAAATATTTACTTGCCTTCATATTGTTTTAAACCTGTTATTGTTCTCCACTGTCTCATATCAGGAAAGTTCTGATACTTTCTTGTTTATGTGAAGCTGCTTTGAAACTATTTCTATTATATAAAGTGCTATAAAAAATAAAGGTGACGACTTGACAATGACGTGTCAAATTTTGAGAATTTATTGTTGTGTTGTGACATTTTAGCTGAGAGATTCAGTACAAACGCAAAGAGTCGCAATGTGTCTCCCAGCGCCGCGCTGCCCACAGAATGCTCTCCCCAGACTGTCTTCTGGGCCGCCCATGCCCCGCTGCAGCCTTCTCCTCTCCTGTTGCCCAAAAAATAGCAATATGGCTCTTTGCATGGTCATTTATGAGAGTCACTTGCATACTGCAGTACACAAACATCATCTACTTCTGTAGAAATGTGTTTTGCCAAAAGCCCCTTTGTGTGCATATGCAGACTAAAGTACCTGTGATAATATTATGCCTGTGCCAGGAGACAGGTTGTCCGCTTGATTCATTTGTTTGATATCTGCTGGAAGTGGAGCAGTGCACTGTTTGATATGTGGTTTGGTACAGTGTGGCCTCAGTGGGGTTGGTGACCTCCTTCATCACAAAACCATCACGGTTCTGTGCCCTGATCTGTACCCCCACTCTGTGTAGGACATGATGCTGTACACATGCACGACACAGCACCCTTTTTAATAATTAGGTATTGCGCGGTTGAACAATGTGTTTTAAGCAGATTCTTAAAGCTTTTACATACTCAGTAGGTTCAATATTGCCATCTACTCTCAAGATTCACTACAAATAGACAAATACACTCTGTCTGAACACTTTAGACTTACTGGTACGATGTCCTTCGGGCCATGTATATCTCTGGAGTGTGTCTGTGCTTGTGTCACACCCATGTTACTGAGGTCACTTCTATTATGCTGAGAGGGATAACGTGAATCTCGGGGGAGAAAGACCAGTTCTTGACCGTCGCGTCCTCTCCCTGAAAAACTCTTTTAGAACAGAACTGGAACTAGTTACTGTCACCAACATTATTCATTTCAGATTAAATTTCCAGGTGGCTTTATTAGTGATGAAAAAAAAATAGTCTCATTATGTATGAACTCACACTTGTATGAATAAAACTCACTTCACGAGTTTACACATACCATAGGCCTGCATGTAATTTGGGTAGAATGGAGAGTGTGTGTATTTGGCATGCTGTCCGAGGACTCTGAGCTCGGAATTTTGCTCAAATGGCTTTAACTGGTAGGCTACTGTTGTCTCCATGGTAACCAATTAAGTACAATAATAATAATAATAAAATATTCAATTACATATGCGCTCATAGTGTGCTCTTACCTCTGCGTGTGTTGTAGAATAAACAGATTTAGTCTGATCGCCAAGAGTCAGTGTGCTTTGATGCATTGGCCGCTTGCACATTACGTACGGTGAGATGGGACTCTCTTTGATTGAACTCATCTGATGATTTTCAAAGACACCACTGCAGTTGAAGTTCTCCTCTTCAGTGATGACACGACTTGATAAAATCTGAAAAGCACGGTATGATATAGGCTAGCTGCTACTCCTCTCGGCTTTCCGCCTCTACTTTGATTCTCACATACAGATCGTTTGTTAGTCGTTGATTATTGGTCACAACGGGCGCTAAATCGCTAATAGCAACGTCCAAACAAAATAATTTTATTCTGAAACTGCATGCGTGAAAACGCATTTATGGCAGTACTTTTCTAAATATTAAGGGGTTGGGAATAATAATAAAAAGAAATAACATTCTTAAAATTCTAGGATCTAAAATACAGGAGGATAGACATCACCAATGGGTCTTTGTAAAATAGAGTGGGGTAAAATTTCGGTAACCCCACAATGTTGTGTTGTCGGATTGACCCTGCTGAATCTCTGCAGCTGTTATCAGAGCAATGTATTTTCTAGGAAATAAAATAGAGGAGGCTAGAAATCACCTGAGTGAAATTGGGTAACATTAAATCCATTCTGTGTGAAATAAAGGGAAGCAAGTTTCCAGTAACCTTTAAATGTTGTGTTGTTGGATTTGGTGACCAAATTATGAGATCCATCAGACCCAAATTATTTCTAAAATAACAGAGAGCGGTTTAGACGTCACCAAGTACATTTAAGCAGAGTTACAAACAGTATGTCCCAAAAAATAAATATTTTTAAAAAAATCTGGATAAAAACGTATTATTACAATGGTAATAATAACAACACCGCTCACAGCTGACTCTCCCGCCACACTGATGATAACTCTGATACTATACTTATCACATTCTACATCAACTTTGAAAAACAGCAGATAAAATGCTTTGCTATGATTATTTCCAACCCACACATTTTGCTGTGTTCAAAAGTATTGTGCTATTTTATGTGAGCATAAGTATTGATGTTTCCTGTTTGTATTAATTGATCACACATACTTTTGACAAAACTTTTATATATAATGTACAATCAGCACACAAACATTAGTGGCCTTGCTTAAAGAGACCGTTGGATTCAATAAACAAATTTAGAATAAAAAATTATTTAAAAAATAAAAAGATCCCATGATCAAAATTCCAGAAAAGCTAAAATGGCCATATTTCCTTTTATATATTCACTCACAGTACAAGTCATTGAGCTCATTGGACACAATATTCTTTTAAACAGAACATGAATTGGGTGTGCTTTGAGAACACTGCTTTGATAGATTATTAGACCTTTAGCTGAGGTGGAACTGCTTCCGCATTGAGTGTAAGTGTAGGCTACGGCTTCTCTCCAGTGTGAATAAATGTGTGTTTACTAACATTATCTTTACATTCTGAATCGTTTTCCACACTGAGAGCAAAAGAAACAAAATGTCCTTTGTGTGGGAATCTCTTTCCACATTGAGGGCAGGTGAAAGGTCTCTCTCCAGTGTGAGTTCTCATGTGAACATTTAGGTTTCCTTTTCGCGCAAATGTCTTTCCACATTGAGGACACATGTGAGGGTTTTCTTCAGTGTCAATTATCATATGTTCATTAAGTCGTCTTTTACGCGTGTAACTCTTTCCACACTGAGGGCAGGTAAAACGCTCTAGTGACATTAAGCAGCTCTTTGGTGTGCAGTTGTTCATGTGTTTTCAGGATTCCTGATTGCGTGAAACCTTTTCCACAATATGAGCCGTTCTCCAGTATGGATTCTTTTGTGTTTTATCAGATAGTCAGCTCTACTAAAGGCTATTCCACACTCACAGCACACATGAGTTTTTACTTCTGGTGCCTTTTAAAATAGTTCACTCTGGAGACAGTCCTCACACATGGATCAACTATCTTATGTTCAGTGAGGGTGCTTTTATGTGTTAAAGCTTTTCCACAAGTGTTTCCACTTGTGTGAGGCCCTTTGACTTCTGCTTTTTGGGTGCTGCTTTGTAAGAAATAATTTTCAGTTTGGGAGCAACTCAGTGATTTTTTTCTATTTATGGCATCATTAGCTTCCTGATGCTGATGTTTCTCCTCAACTTCATCCAGATCTCGACTTTCCTCTTTCTCTTCCATCAGGCCTGAAATGACAACATTAAAATGATGAAAATCATTTGGGATATTTATAAATAAATAATAGGAAATAAAACTGAACCCCAGAAGAGGTTATGATGATTTGGATGCATTTTGAAGTCATTTACTTTCTTTATCTTTTTTCTTCTTCTTCTAATAACAACAGACGCTGAATCTGGTGCGCTGACTGAAGCTTAGGTATTACAAAAAAATGAATAAAGAAAAAGAATGGACACCAACCTGTTTGTTTCTCATTTTTTTTATTCTGCAGGTTCTAGATCCCACATTACCTCATTCTGCTTTTTGACAAAAATCATCTTTACAGTAACATGGCACACAATTGAGATATGTACAGCTCCCCTCCAGTCGCAAGACACTCTTCTTTTCTTTCGTTTAACAGTGGCACGCAAACTTAAATAGCGCGTTACCTCCACCTAACTGTTAGCATGGACCAGACACGCTATACATTTCATTCTATTGTTTTTATTACAGAACATTAAGCATTTACAAACACCATGAGTAATTAAAATATACATATGTGTAACATGCCAAGAGTATGAGTAGGCCTAATCATACTTTGTACATACATTACATTGATTTATATTTAGCTTCGTAAAAAAAGAAACACCAAAAGAATAAAAAAAATAAGTTGTCAGGGGAATAAAATGAAACAGACACATTAAAATTGTGTTTGTTTCGGTTTTTGGTTTCTTACATGCTTTAGAATCTCACTATAATGCATAGTATATTCATAGTATATTCTTTTCAATACAGTTGGGTCTTTTAATTTGATTGGTTGAATCACCACAATGGATGATATATACTTTTGACCAGGAATAAAATTCATTAAAAAAAATAAAAATAAAAGACCTCCAGGTAGCTATATAAGCTTGGCCTTTTTAAGTATAGACATATTATAAAAACTGTACAGTCAGTGTTTCAGACCCCTCGGACTATCTTGGTTTTATTTATGTCCCTTAAAGTCGGCATGAAACCGAAGTTGTGATAGTCTTTACTTCCCTAATGTAATGTATATCCCAGTGAAACGGCTTCTCAAACAGGAAAAAATGTAGGACCGGTCTTGATTTTGTCCACCCGGAATTGATTGGATGGTTGTGGTTTGCTATTGGTTGATTTCATGTGAGTGACAGGTTGATCCCGT